TTTTTTTTTTTTCTTCTGTCCTAGACTATCAGCACGTCGCTTGGCCTTCTTCAGCGGGCTGTAGGGTTCTCGACGGTGGGCACCCCTAGGCTGCGCGATTCAATCCCATTTGTTGTCGATGTCGTTCTTCTCGCGCTAAGTGGGTTAGGCGTCTGGTCCTGTAAGGATTTTGCCACTTTCCCTGGTAGCCTTATTGGGCCGTTGGTCGTTGATCTCCTAGGCGGCGCGGCGGCGGAGGTTCTGCGTGTCAGGTTGTGGCCCTGACGACCTTGTTGTGGTGGTTGGGGCTGAGGAGAGTGAGCTCTCCCCTTTGTTCCCTTTCCCCTTTAGTGTGTAGCTGCAGAGACGATCGAGTGTGACGAGCATGGCCCATGGTGTGGTCTGGGCTCGGGGCGGTAGTGTTGTGGTGGGCGGTTTGTTCGGTTTTCTCTGGCGAATGGGTGGGGGGTTGATCGCCTGGGCGCGGGATCAAGTTCATGGATGTTGGCTCCAGTTAGGCGAGTGTTGCAATTTCTGTTTCTAAGACTAGGGGCGAGATCCGATCCGTATAGACGGTCAGCCTTGTGTGCCGTTGTCGTGGTTTGCTTGGTGTTTTCTGTCCGTCTACGGCAAAGGCTTTATTCTATTGTATTTAGGTTGTGCTTGTGTGTAGAAAGTATTTTTTTCTGTGTTTCTCTGTTTGAGTTTTATTATTTCGTGGGGATCTGTATTATTATCGTGAGTGCATTGTGGTAGTCTAGGCTCCTATATAGGATGTCCTCCGACTAGACTCGACTTGTGACCGAGTTCTAAATGTAAAAATATGTGTTATATTCTCACGATTACCTTCAATTCCTTGAATTATATGGTAAATTGTTTTATTTTGAATGTTAATAGTTAATACTCCAATTATAATGTAAATTTACCCTCGGCAAATAAAAACAACTAAATAAGACATGTTACAATATCAATATCATTGACTTTTGGATTTCTGTTCATTTTCCCCCTCAGTTACTCATAATAAATATCTCACACTCTATGGAGTCTTGAGAGCTGATTCTCTCAGTGCATCTGCTCTGGTAGACTCGCAATTTCTCCTACGCTCTGTGGAAAAACTCCATAGACATTCACCTGAAGACAGACAGATACCGAAAGAGGTAATTCTTCCTCTATATCTCAATTCCAATTCTCTTTCTGTGGTGTTTAGTTTCATATATTTGGATCCGTTTGTGCTTGTTTTCCGGGTTTTCGGATCTCGGCAGATGAATCGATCTTCGTGTTCTTCATTGTTTTTGAGTTGCTACGAACTGATTCATGAGAATTTGACCTATTCATGATCATGCTCTGTTGGGCCTGCGATGAAAGTCAAAATTTGGGATTTTTTTTGGGGTTTTTTGATCAGAAATCTTATAGTTTTAAGCAAACGCAGTAAAACGGAACATGGAAAAGCTGATGCTAAATATCAATGTAATTCTCAAATTGAATGAAGAAAATATTGGTTTTCTTTTAGGTTACATATCAATGGATTTTTCAGCTACTTTGGACACTCTTAAATTGGCTTGGCTTTTATAGCGTGTGATGTTTTAGTTGTTTGTTTGTGTTTTGGGGAGTTTTCTCTTTATGCCTTCTTTACATGATGAGCTGAAATGGCTCTATGAAAATCTTGTTGGAATAGATAATAAGATCGGTCGGTTAGAAGACGACAACACATAATGTTTTTTCGCAAGAGCAACTCCTCGCACGAGGGTGAGAGCGTTGAGCTGCAGAAGGAGCGCAAGGTAATAATAATGTTTTCATGTCTTCAGAATGTTACTAGGGATACCAATTGAATATAAGTAAGCTTCAGGTCGAATCAACTGAAATCGGAAGTGGATGTTAGTTTGTGTTCAATTGTGCACAGATAACTGCAATCTCGGATCGCTACATTTCTATGCATAAATTTAAATCCTTGTTGAATAATTTTTAATTTTTCTAAATGTTGGAATAGCAGTTGTGTTTGAGTATATTCATCCTGCTGTAATTGTTCACGTCATAGACTCTCCAAAAAGAATTTAGGAATGTAACTGAGAAGTGAGAACAAGTAAAATTTGCATGATCCTGAATTCTTGATGATATAATAATTTTTTTTTTTTCTTTTTTGAAGTTGAACGAGCTTAGGGCTTCTTTGGGGCCATTGTCTGGTCGTAGCTTGCAATACTGCACTGATGCGTGTTTGAAGAGGTATCTTGAAGCTCGAAACTGGAATGTTGATAAGTCGAAAAAGATGCTGGAGGAGACATTAAGATGGAGGTCGAGTTTTAAGCCTGAGGAAATCCGTTGGGTATGAAAGACTCATCTTTCTGTTAACTACATATAAATAGTGTTTAGTATTAGTTCGTATCACAAGCGAATAAGCTCCTTTCCTTTATTATTCAATCTATTCACGTCTACATAAGATTTTTTTAGAAAAAAACAAAAAAAAAAACTTATTGTTAGTGTCTTATACGCTATGATGTTTGCTAGCATGAAGTTGCGAGTGAGGGCGAAACTGGGAAAGTTTACAGAGCAAACTTTCACGACCGTCAAGGAAGGTCTGTTCTAATATTAAGACCAGGAATGCAGGTATTTGAAAAAATGCTCTATAAGCAGTTTGATTTCCAGCTTTTCCTCTACAATAATTGTTAATTACAAGATACCCCTGAAGTTCTAGGATATTTAGAATAAGACATTTTTTATTTATTTTTTTTTCAAAATTACAAGTACATTTTCTATACCTGCTAGATCAATGCATACCTCATGAAAATAGAAGGGCTGAAAAAGATTAATGGTGCATGACATTTTTTTCCAGAACACGACATCACTGGATAACCAGATGAAGCACCTGGTGTACCTGATCGAGAATGCCATACTTAATCTTCCGGAAGGTCAAGAACAGATGTCGTGGCTGATAGACTTCACGGGATGGTCCATTAGCAACAATGTCCCCATCAAATCTGCAAGAGACACCGTTAATATTCTCCAAAATCACTACCCTGAGAGATTAGCCATCGCATTTTTGTACAACCCCCCGCGCATATTCGAAGCATTTTGGAAGGTTTGCTCAATATTGATCCTAGAAATCACACTTTTTGTTTTTTGTTTTTT